GATTTCACTATCTTAGGCCGATTCCACACAGCCACATAATCCAGAATATCAAGGCAGATAATCCATATTATCAGCTTTGAACTGAATTATCTGACTTCACACTGCCATATATCCAGTTCAATGTGGATTTTATACAGCTGTGTGGAAGGGGTCTAAGATGTCTTGGATGTGGAGTGAGAATTCCTGCACAGATGATGTCAGGCCAATATGGTAGTAACATGAGATTTTTTTCCTAGTTTTGGGAAACTGTAACATTTTATGCAGATAATATAGATAATTTGTGACCTTTAAAAAGTCAGAAATAAGGAGCTAATTAAAAAGCTGTGAAGTGACCTAATCTATATATAAATATAGTTTCTGACCTACTTAAAGTAGCTTGAATATAAAAGTCATATTAGGAATAACATGGATGCATTTTTCTGAAATAAATATATTTTGGCTATGATGAATCAGAGGATGGGATCTTGGATTTATTCCTTCTGCTATCTGAAACTGTTGCTTATCCAGCAGTTTTGTTTGGGGTTTTAAAATTTTTGATAATCTCTTGAATTTGATATACAGGGATGAATACCCAGATAGTTATATAGGCATTTTAAATATTTGTTTTTGCTGTGTTCCTCCAAGTCATTTCCAAATTACAAGGCTCATCTGCACTGATTAAAACTGAAAGTCCCAGATTTTGTTCCTATTCCTTCTGATTTTAATTTGGAGATCTATATATGTTTTCTTTATCTCAAGATACAGGGTTAGTCAAAATGAATAGGCCAATAAGAAAATTAATTTTAGACGAATGTATGTTTATTGTAACCAAACTACAGCTACGTAGCGACAGATAAACTATCAAAGTTTTGTCTCACCTTCAGAGATGTTCGATATGGGCGCCCCGTGTGACACGGCAGATGTCCAAGCGATAGTCCAGTTCATTCCACATCCGTTGCAGCACATCCGACGTAATGGCATCGAATGCAGCAACGTCTGGGAAGGTGTTCGTTGAGGTCCTAACCCTAACCCTAACCCTAACCCTAACCCTAACCCTAACCCTAACCCTAACCCTATCCCTATCCCTAACCCTAACCCTAACCCTAACCCTAACCCTAACCCTAACCCTATCCCTAACCCTAACCCTAACCCTATCCCTAACCCTAACCCTAATCCTAACCCTAACCCTAACCCTAACCCTTGAAATTCTCGCTGGACCGTAATTACTGACATTGTTTTAGCAAATGTCATCACACAAAACGCCTTCTCTTTGCTTGATTCCGCCATTTTGAAAACAGCGACCCCTAGCGACGCCTAGCGGCATTAACGTACATGTGTGTTGCTCAAAAAAAACTTTGATAGTTTATCTGTCGCTACGTAGCTGTGGTTTGGTTACAGTAAACATACATTCGTCTAAAATTAATTTTCTTATTGGCCTATTCATTTTGACTAACCCTGTATTTTCTATCAGCTCCTGGTACAATCAGAGACTTTTATACCAGTTCCTGGGGTTGGTTTATTTCAACTGAGTGCCTTTCCACACAACCCTATATCCCAGAATATCAAGGCAGAAAATTCCACAATATCTACTTTGAACTGGATTATCTGAGTCCACACTCAGATAATGTGGGATTTTTTCCCTTGATATTCTGGGATATAGGGCTGTGTGGAAGGGCCCCTAGTATAAAATCTGAAAGAACACAAGTAAAATCTGAAATGTATTAATCAGTATGAATATTGGTTTCTTTTTTGGCTATTTGGGGCCAATATTCTACATGGATGTTGATAAAATGAATGGTGGCCCTCTTGTTAAATAGAGAATAGTCTACTGCAACATGCTCTATGTGAGGCTGCCTTTGAAGACTATTCAGATGCTTCAAGTAATCCAATGGACAGCAGCCAGATTTCTCACCATAGTGGGGTACAGGGAGCACACAACTCTTCTGGTACGTCAGCTCCACTGGCTGCCAGCCTGCTACAGAACATAATTCAAAGTGCTGGCTTTAGGTTATAAAGCACCAAATGGTTCTGGCCTAGTTTACCTGTCCAAACATATATCTCTCTATGAGCCTGCTAGGAGGTTAAGATCGTCTGGGGAGGCCCTACTCTCAATCCCACCTCCTTCACAGGTGCGGTTGGTGGGGACAAGAGACAGGGCCTTCTCAGTGGTGACCCCTCAGCTATGGAACTCCCTCCCAAATGAAATCAGATCAGCCCCCTCCCTCATAACCTTCAGGAAAAGGCTAACAACATGAATGTGGGATCAAGTGTTCAGTTAGTAAATTTTGGAATAGTGCAATAGCAATTCGGAACGGCCATAGATTACGATTTTGGATAACATGATTTTAATAACTGTTTTAAGGTTTTATATGTTTTTATTGATTGCTTTAATATATGTTTATTTTATTATATATGTATGTTTACATGGCATCAAATTGTTGCCTCTATATGTAAGCTACCTTGAGTCCCCTATGGTGTTGAGAAAGACAGGGTATAAATAGGGTAAATAAATAAAATAAATATATTCATAGCTTCAGAGGTAGGCAAAGACAATCCCTGAACAAATATTGCCAAGAAATCCCCATGATAGGTTCGCCATAAGTTGGAAATGACTTGAAAGCACACAACAATAAATAATCTAAACTTTTTAGATATTAGTGTGGATATATTTTGTCTCTGTGAGGTTGGGTTAAGCACACTGTAATACAGTAGAATGCTGTGGCCTTATTTTGAATACATTTATTGCTTTTCTCTTGTTCATACAACAATCAGCATAGTTAAGAATTTTTGCATATAGAACAATAATGTGGATTTCAGAATTTAAGCACTATGGTATGGCCTAATTTCTGAAGTTATGCTCAATCTTTTGAAAGCTATATATCCATATAGTGTGCATAAAATACATACTTAATGTGGCAGGGGAATAACGAGATTGAAAATGTAGCTTCAGAACTCATCAAGCCACTATTGGATCCATTTGACATTTTGACTAACTGGATTATATTGTTCAGGCCTATTTTCCTGTATCTCCATTTCTGGGCTTGGCCTTTATCCTGAATCTGCATTAAATGTGTCTTTTTGGAAACATGTAATTTGAATTTTGTGCTGTTAACTATAAGCTGCATTTCTGTGTGATTCTAGTTAAGATCTCATTTGAAAGCAGAGTGACCTAGAAATATTTTTATTCTTGTATCTAAATCACAGTGACATTCTCTTTAAGTTACTCCATATTCTTGCAGATTAATTTTTACAGTTTTGTCTTCTATGCAAAAATCTATGAAGTTTTGCTGTCCAGAGTCAGAAGTCCAGTGTCAGAAGAAATAACTATATAATATTTTCAGCTGTATCTGGATAGAATTGTAATGTCCCATTTAGATTAGGCCAAAATCCAAATTATTGCTGACTGAATAATTTGCCCGAAAGATATTGGAGTATATAAAAAGAAATCATAGCTTGACAGGGTATGGCCTCTTTTCTAATTCAGTTAGACGAGTCAGTGTCAAAATGGATAAAGACAAAATGCGTTTGTCTTACTACATTTGTAAGTTCATTTGTAATTACATCAACTATTTATAACTGATTACTTCACACACATTTTTATATTGTGTTGTTGTTGTTGTTGTTGTTGTTGTTGTTGTTGTTGTTCTATCGGAGTATTTGGATTGCTTTCTTCTTAACCAGTATAACAATACAAATGTGGGCTGTAGTAGTAACAGCAGAAGTAACCAGAGTTAAAATGGTTGCAGGCACCATGGTGATGGAGGGGATGATGGAAATACTATAGGAAGGCTTCTGTGTGCAGTGAATATATGCTGCATGGTGCTTCGGTGATGGCCTCCATGGCCAAAGATCAGAAGGCTTTACATGAAGCATTAAGTGTCAGAATGCTGCATTTTATTGGAGCAGGTCTATGAGCTATTTAAAGTTTGAATCCCCCTTCACATGCTCCTTCACATGCCTTAATTGTACAGTGTGAGCCTCTCTCAGTACAGTGTGAATATATCTGGCCACTTCAGGGTAAGGTATTTTCTCCCCTTTACCTGGGTTTTCCACCTAAACCATACTGTATCTGAGGTCCCATCTATACTACCATATATAATGAACTTGAAACAGCCTTATATGGTCAGTGTAGACTCATATAATGCAGTTTAACTACATTGAACTGGATTATATGAGTCTACAGTAACCATATAATGCCGTTTCAAATGGCATTATATGGCAGTGTAGGTGGGACCTGAGGGACTTGGATTATTTGTTTGGGATGGTGTCTGTAAACAGGATTCCATTTGGCAGGTAACAGGAGGAAGATTTAAGACTTGGATGCTCACCTTGGCACCCTTTTGGTGCATAATGCAATTCTGAAATGGTCTTCATAGGTCCTGGGATTAAGATCTATTCTTGAGGCAGACCTGGGTGTATATCTCTCACTTATATCATCTGATGACAGTTGGGAGTGTCTTAGGTTTACCCAGGAAGCCACTTCAATATTGGACTGCTCTTGGGGCTCAGGTGTTTGACTAAGAGAAGTCTGAGGAAGTGGTCTAGGATAGACGCCTGCCTCAACTAGACCTGCATCAGGTTGATTCCCTCCCATCCATCCACTAACCCTTGCTCTTTTTGACTCCAAATAACTTAAATAAAGTTTTTTTTCAGGCTATATGGCCATGTTCTAGAGGCATTCTCTCCTGACATTTCGCTTGCATCTATGGCAAGCATCCTCAGAGGCAGGCGAAACATCAGGAGATAATGCCTCTAGAACATGGCCATATAGCCCAAAAAAAACTTACAACAATCCAGTGATTCCGGCCATGAAAGCCTTCGACAAAACTTAAATAAAGCATAGCTTAAACATAGTGGCCCTTATTCAAGCCTGTCCACCATAACTCAGTGTAGTTGCTCCAAACTTATATAAGCAGGTTTGTGCACTTAACAAGCACATGTCCACAAAAAGAGATGAGGGAAATTTATTCAACATAAAGGATGCCTGGATATCATTTGTTTGTTTTGCTTTTCTTTTACAGGAAAAAATCTTTTCTGTTTTCTGCTTTATATGCTGCCTTTATATTTGGTGGTCGGCATCTAATGAACAAACGAGCAAAATTTGAACTAAGGAAACCACTAGTTCTTTGGTCTCTGAGCCTTGCTGTCTTCAGGTAAGCTGTTTTTTTTTCAATGACATTATTGCTGTATGCTTTAAAAAAATGATTAGCAGAATGCCCCTTCTCTTATATCATCCCTTAAGAACTTCAAATTTCTCATCCAAATTGTATCATTCCTATTGTTTTTTTTCCACTTTACAGTTAGAATCATGACAGGACATAAAGCAGCAATCTTAAGGGCTAAGTAGAATAAGAAGTAAAAAATCCAAAATTCTTGAGACCAGAAAGGTTTGGGGTTTTTAAAATTTTATTTTGGAGTTGCTATTACTATTACTGTTGTTGATGTTATTTCATATCCAAGGTTCAAAACAACAGCAACAGAAGCCTTGCCTCTTTATGTACTTTTTTTTGTCAATTGTATAACGGCATTGGATTTTTCCCATACATGTACCTATAATCCGCTTTGAGTCCCCTCTGGGAGATAGAGTGGAATATAAATAGGATATATTATTATTATATTAAAATTGTTGTGTCCGACTCTGAGGGTTTGTGCTTATCTCCATTTCTGAGCCAAAGGGCCAGCGTTGTCTGTAGACACCTCCTAGGTCATGTGGCTGGCATTACTGCACGGAGCGCCATTACCCTCCCGCCAGAGAGGTACCTATTGATCTACTCACATTTGCATGTTTTTGAACTGCTAGGTTGGCAGAAGTTGGGGAAAACAGCAGGAGCTCATGCCGCTCTCCAAATTCAAACCTGCGACCTTTTGGTCAGCAAATTCAGCAGCTCAGCGCTTTAACCCACTGTGCCACCAGGAACTATATGTCCAAAATTTTCAAATCATAGTTGTATTATGAGGTGTTCTGGAGGATCCAAGTACAGTAGAAACACAAAATTCATGTATGTTTTGTATACATCTTATACATGTTGCCTGAAGTTCATTTTGTATGCAATATTTTTACTATTATGTATGAAGCAAAGGTGTTGTGCACATTGCACCATCAGAAAGAAAAGGTGTCACTATCACAGACATCCATGTGGACAGTTCTGAGTTTGAGAGTATTTCTGATTTGGGAATTCTGAATAAGTCATGTTCATCCTGTGCACTGCAAACTATAGTGGGAAGATTACACCGGGAACATGTCCTTCGAAAGCTCCTTTTAAATGGGTAAGAAAGTGCAAATCTGTTTCCTACATATGGGAAAGTACCTGAAAAACATTCCAAATGGTCAGATCCCCAAAAAACTTGTAGTGTTGGCTCTCTTTTTTTGCGCCAAATCTAAATACTATTTCAGTGAAACTGAATGAGTAATTGAATTTTCAGTTGCCATCATGACTACCATCATATTGTAGCAACCTTGATTCTTAAGGTTGGAGCCCATCAGGGTACATAGCTTTTTCCAAAGTCTCCTGCACAATAGTAAACCATACTTGTTACACAAAAGCCCCCAATGTTTGCTTTGTCGTCATAAGAGTAACAGCACTGCCAGTTCTTACTCAAAAAATAACCAGTAACGTCATTACTTTTATCAAGCCATTTCTTGAGTTAAAGGTGAGTCAAATTATTTCGGCATCTTGGGAATAAAATCTTCCACAAACATCTTTTTTGAAAGAAAAACTTGATACTTTTAAAAAGTGAGAACGTTAATTAATTAATTATGTGGTTAAGATCATTAATCAAAAATCTTACATAAAACCCAAACTGGCACATTATTCTAAATTTTTCTATTTCACTGGAATAGGTTTGTTTACAGATCAGTTGGGTGTCAGGTCAGTTCTTCATATTTTCTCTCATGCTAAACTATCACTCACCCTCATTTTGCTCTTTTTACTGTTTGTTTTAGAGGGAATGTCTTTGATGTTTTGATACTTCTTTGGTAATTCATAATACATTCATTGGCCTGAATCTAACTGCCAGTACCAAGTACAGTGGACCAATTGAGGTCTGTTTTAGTTTGGATTATTTAGTCCATTGTAATTGTGTTGTGAACTTTCTTAAGAGTTCATCTCAAGGCCATTGCGTATACAGTCATTTATGTCAGTTTGAATATTTTAAAATAAATACATGAATAAAATAAACGAGTTACTGGGAAATGTAACAGTGAAAGAGAACATTCAAATGCATATTAGCTGCAGTATCTTTAATTGGTAGGAATCATGGTTTGGGAAGTGGGGGTGGGAGAGAATCTCCAACTCATAGCAGTTTAGATCAGGAGCTCTTCCATACCACAGAATTATAATGATATTACAGTCATCTCTCCACATTTGCAGTTTAGGAATAGGAATATTCTGTAATAAATAGTTGTCCTGTCCTGAGTCTTCATCTCCTGGCAGAGGTTGATTCTTCTTGATTGGTGTTAGCCTTGTGTTGACTTTGTGTTGACATCAGGTCCTTGTTCTATGTATTCAGAGATAGAAGGGGCAGATTGCTTCTCTGTAGAGGAGTAATGCTTGTGGAAGAAGGAGGGATGGGGCAATTGGCAGTTCTGTGAACAAGAGAACCTCTTTCTCCTCCTCCAGCTGGCTATATCTATGCATTCTGCATCCATGAATTCCACCATCCATGGCGTGAAAATATTTCAGCCCCCCCCCCCAATCCAAAGAAATTAAGCCCTGTTTTTGCCATTTTGGAGAAGAGACACCATTTTACTACACTGTTGTATATAATGGCCCTTGATCATCTATAGATTTGGGTATCTGTGGAGGGTCCTAGAACCCAGTCCCAGCAGATACCAAGGACCCACTGTAATACATATTAATACTTATCTTAGAACCCTTAAGCCTTTCTCTGGATTTTTTGTCACTTATAATCTGCTAAACTATTTTCTGAGTTTAAAAAATTAGGCTTACTGGGCTAATTGATTTGCCTTACTGCTTTCTTTTCACATGATTTGCCTAGAATAATTTCCATATCTGAACAGATATATACCTTTCAGTACTAAGTCTTCTAGTTGCTATAACAACTGGATACCTTTGATCTTGTAAGAACCTTAAGAGTATCCTTGAGAAACAAGCATTCTGCCTGTTTGGATTACTCTTCAAATCCCCAGATTACTTCAGTTAGTCTGGCAATACTAACACCCCATTATATCACAGGACTATGTCCCCAGATAATTCATTAAAGACTATTTAAATGTTACACTATGCTTATTAATTCCTCTAGGGCCAAGTTAAAGATCCATGAGTGCTCCCTTATGTCCCAGGGGATTTATTGCCAAATATAGAATGTAAACTGAAAATTGAATATTCCCGTTATGCATAAAATCTGGACGCTGTCCAGTCTTCTGAACAGGACATAGTGGAAGTAAGACATCTGTTAATTAAATCAGCTGTTTCTCATTCCCAAGTTGCACCATGGCTGTATACAGATTTTGGCATAAGTAGAAGCTTTGATATATTTATTTGTAAGTGTTGGATATATGCATCCAAGTGTAACAGACCAGATAAGCAATTTCAAAAGATAGGAATGATGCAAAGTAAGTATGCTCTGTCTTATATAACAAGACAAAGTGAAGCTCAGTATCTATTAATTCTTAGGAATTGTAGACTAAAGACTATGGTGCTGCATTTTTATTCTAGAGTTCTGTTATTCAGAGTCCTCTGAGGGCCCTTCCACACAGCCATATAACCCAGAATATCAAGGCAGAAAATCATGCAATATCTGCTTTGAACTGAGTTATCTGAGTCCACATTATCATATATTCCAGTTCAAAGCAGATAATGTGGGATTTTATTCAGCTGTGTGAAAGTGCCCTAAAATACATGTGTCAAACTCAAAGCCCATGGGCCAAATCCAGCCTGCCATGTCATTTTATGTGGCCCTCCAGATGCTAGACTACCACTCCTGTATTCCTTATTAGACCTCAAAATTAGAGTGGATGGGAGTTGTGATAAAGTAACACCTGGAAGGCTGCAGTTTGTTCAAGTTAATCAAGATAGTGGGGTTTGAATTAAGGTACAAGGCTTGTGGATATGTATGACTGAAATGTCCTTTAATCTTTCCAGAACCTCAGAGCCACAAGTGCTGTTGGGTTGCAATTCCCATTACAACCAGTCCATATGGCAGATAATCAAAAGTGATGGGAGTTGTCATTCATTAACATCTGGGGACCCAAATTGGGTAAAGACTGAAAAGCACTGACCACTATGTGAAACAATTATAGTTGGCCCTCTGTATTCATGAATTCTCCATCCATGGATTCAATGGTCCTTTGGAGATAACCCTAAGGCTGATGTGGCCCCTGATGAAAATGAGTTTGACACTCTTGCTCTCAGACAGTGTTTCTCAAACTCTGTTCCTTCAGGTGTTTGGGACTTCAACTCCCAGAAATCCCATTCAGCTTACCAGCTGTTAGGAATTGTGGGACTTGAAGTCCAAAACATCTGGAGGAGCACAGCTTGAGAAACTCTGCTTTAAGATAAAGGTTCTCACTTCTATATAATCCAGTATCAGACTGTTGTTCTTGTTGTGTGCCTTCAAGCCATTTCTGACATATGACTTCCCTAGCATAAACATATCACAGGATATTCTTGATTGTTTGATTATTGCATTTTTTTAATCCTGATTTTCTCCCAGAATGGGATTCAAGGCAGTTAATAATAGTGAACTCTTTGGAAATGAATGACTTCTGCTGATGTTGACCATATAACCCTGCTAGAGGACCTCGAGATACCAGTTATCTAGTTTTTGGTGCAGTGAAATTCTATGGTCAGCTTCTATTGGAAGCATAACATTGAATCATGCTGGAGGATCTGGAAAATGCCTAAAGTGAACATATTGTTTAATGTCAGTAGGTAGAATCACTCTTGCTGCCACTAATACAAGGATCACACAGTACTGCTAGATGATGTGAGAAAAAACTAGGTAGCGAATGCATAGAGCTTCCATATATTGTAGTGGGAAGAGGAAATATGGGCACACTCAAGGTGGCATGCACATTTAAATGTTTCTTCAACGCCGGTGATGAGACGATAACCTCTGCTATGTATGAGGGCAGCAGGCATGCTTAGAAGATACAAAACTGCTCACAGCACTCTTTCCTCCAAGAAAAGAG